CGCCGCGGCGCCCCCTCTCTGCCCGCGGCCGCCACCCCCGGATTATTTATCCGCAAAGTCCCGCGCGCGCCTATTGGGCCGAGGCCCGAGTGTCAGCGCGAGTCCCGGCTCGCCATTGGCCCCGCACACGTGCGGCCCTGACTCACGTGCTTCCGGTTTGAAGGCAAAAAGTGTGCCTGGGTGATTTTTTTTTTTAAGCGAGAGAGTTTGCAAAGATCCGAGCTGTCAGAGATTTGAAAAAAAAAAAAAAAAAAAAAAAAAAAAAAAAAAAAAAAGCAGCCCGGCGCTGGCGGAGACGCGCTCTCCCTGCAAAAAAAGCAAAGGCGATTAAAGGCGCTGCCAGCCTCGCGCTCTGGGCACAGCTGAGCGTGACACTCGGGGAAGTCAAACCCCTCACTGCTGCCTAGGAAGATGGCTAGACTTTAAAGACTATTATTTCCCTTTAAAGAAAAATTCTTGGAGCCTTTTTATTTTTTCTTGTTTGCTTCTTTCTTTTCTTGTTGGGTTTTTTTTTTTTTTTTTTTTTTTTTTTTTTTTGGGTTTTTTTTTTTTTTTTTTTTTTTTTTGGTCGTGGCTTACTCCCCATTTAAAATATTGAATCTGGTTGCAGAAAGAGAAAAGAAATAGCCAAGTGTCTCCATATCTGGATGTCTACAAATTAGAGAGACGGAGAGACAGCGAGATCTATCTGCTCGATAAGAGCGAGAGATCCAGGCCAGACGCCTGGTTTTTTTTTCTGCACCCTGCCCGTGCCTTCGCTGGGGTAAGTACCCAACCCCGGGCTGCACGTTGCCTTGCGTCCCCGCGGTCGCCCCCAGAACGCCAAGCCTCCGCGCTGGGGAGAGCAAACCCGGCCTCAGGTCTCTCGTTTTTCACGCCTGCTTCCTCCTCCTCACCCTTGGTTCCAACCACTACTGAATGTTCACCCAGTTCTGCGATCCTGGCCTCTACGGCCACCATTCGGGAGGCTACAGCTCGGGCACTGGAGGCTCGGGTCTGCATCCTTCGGTTTTGAGTTCTGAACCCCCAGGGTCTTCTTCGTGTTTTACCTTTGTTATCCTTAGGAAAGATACACATCAGTCATTGATTTTTCTTCCGGAGAAAGGGGTGTTTAGAGCTGGCGGGAACGTGGGCCTAGTGATCTGGGTCTGAAATCCCACCTGCCTGGTCCTGCGGAGGCCGGCTTTGACCAGAGAAGTAATCCTCGCCTTGTGTTCTTACAGACACAAACACCATCTCGATATTTTTTTTTTGAGGAAAGTTCATTTACACAGAGAGAGCTATGCGGACACACAGGAAAAGAGAAAGCGTCTGAACGCTGTCCCCTTCTCCGGCCAGGTAGCAAAGACAGTACGACCCGGGTGGGTAGAATCTAGGGAAAGGCAATTGCCAAAAAGGTGGATGCCGGGCTCCTGGTTCTCTAGAGCTGACAGACCGTGGGAGAGGAGAAAAAACAGGTCAGGCTCAGGCCAGAAAGCCGGGCCAAGGGCAAGAGAGCCAGCCTCCTCCGCAGCTTCTCTGCGGTGCGGCTCCCACATCCTCCCGGCTCTGCGCTTTCCTTTTTTCACTCCTTCCTTCCGCAAATCTGCCAATTAGCAGATATCTGCCAACCGCAGACCGGTTTTTCTTTTTTTCCATGTGCGCCTTGCACTTGGCGAACCCAAGGCCGAGGCCTGTCTTGGGACAGCCACTGGACTGGGCCCCGGGAGAGGAAGTCAAAGCCTGCCCAGCCGGCAGCGCCCAGAAAGTCTGTGGCAGGACCTTTGGTCCAAGATTTGGACTCTGGGCGCCCGGGTCCGGCAGGGGGCCGGGCACAGCGTAGCCGCCGCGCCGCTGTCTTGCGGCTGCTCTCTCGCCGCCCCACCGCTGCCGGCCGGGCGCGGATCGATGCGTGCTATCAGCCCCCGCCATCTCGAGCCCCGTTATTGACACGTCGGGCTCCCTGAACCTCCGAAAAGCTGCTTTGATTGACTCGCCTGATGGATAGAGTGATTGAGCTGTCAGGCCTCGCGGCTCGGGCTGGCCAGGAGGCTACGATTTTATTACAAGTGTCCGTGCCTCTGCACACACACACACAACACTCCAACATGTCCCCGAAGCACAACGCGCAGTGGGACTTTTCTGGGGATGTGCACATTTCCTAGACAGTCTCTGCCTGCTCAGCTAATTATTAATCTAAATCCCAGTCCTGCTCTGGAGTGGGCCTTGCCTTTGTTCTTGGCTGCTTTCCTTCTTATGGGCCTAGGGAGGCAGAGGACTGACTGGAGCCCCGGCGCTCAGGGCGCCAAGTACCCGGAGCACGGCAACCCCGCCATCCTACTTATGGGATCAGCCAACGGCGGGCCCGTGGTCAAAACTGACTCACAGCAGCCCCTCGTATGGCCCGCCTGGGTCTACTGCACTCGCTATTCGGATCGTCCGTCCTCTGGTAAGTACCCAACCCCGGGCTGCACGTTGCCTTGCGTCCCCGCGGTCGCCCCCAGAACGCCAAGCCTCCGCGCTGGGGAGAGCAAACCCGGCCTCAGGTCTCTCGTTTTTCACGCCTGCTTCCTCCTCCTCACCCTTGGTTCCAACCACTACTGAATGTTCACCCAGTTCTGCGATCCTGGCCTCTACGGCCACCATTCGGGAGGCTACAGCTCGGGCACTGGAGGCTCGGGTCTGCATCCTTCGGTTTTGAGTTCTGAACCCCCAGGGTCTTCTTCGTGTTTTACCTTTGTTATCCTTAGGAAAGATACACATCAGTCATTGATTTTTCTTCCGGAGAAAGGGGTGTTTAGAGCTGGCGGGAACGTGGGCCTAGTGATCTGGGTCTGAAATCCCACCTGCCTGGTCCTGCGGAGGCCGGCTTTGACCAGAGAAGTAATCCTCGCCTTGTGTTCTTACAGACACAAACACCATCTCGATATTTTTTTTTTGAGGAAAGTTCATTTACACAGAGAGAGCTATGCGGACACACAGGAAAAGAGAAAGCGTCTGAACGCTGTCCCCTTCTCCGGCCAGGTAGCAAAGACAGTACGACCCGGGTGGGTAGAATCTAGGGAAAGGCAATTGCCAAAAAGGTGGATGCCGGGCTCCTGGTTCTCTAGAGCTGACAGACCGTGGGAGAGGAGAAAAAACAGGTCAGGCTCAGGCCAGAAAGCCGGGCCAAGGGCAAGAGAGCCAGCCTCCTCCGCAGCTTCTCTGCGGTGCGGCTCCCACATCCTCCCGGCTCTGCGCTTTCCTTTTTTCACTCCTTCCTTCCGCAAATCTGCCAATTAGCAGATATCTGCCAACCGCAGACCGGTTTTTCTTTTTTTCCATGTGCGCCTTGCACTTGGCGAACCCAAGGCCGAGGCCTGTCTTGGGACAGCCACTGGACTGGGCCCCGGGAGAGGAAGTCAAAGCCTGCCCAGCCGGCAGCGCCCAGAAAGTCTGTGGCAGGACCTTTGGTCCAAGATTTGGACTCTGGGCGCCCGGGTCCGGCAGGGGGCCGGGCACAGCGTAGCCGCCGCGCCGCTGTCTTGCGGCTGCTCTCTCGCCGCCCCACCGCTGCCGGCCGGGCGCGGATCGATGCGTGCTATCAGCCCCCGCCATCTCGAGCCCCGTTATTGACACGTCGGGCTCCCTGAACCTCCGAAAAGCTGCTTTGATTGACTCGCCTGATGGATAGAGTGATTGAGCTGTCAGGCCTCGCGGCTCGGGCTGGCCAGGAGGCTACGATTTTATTACAAGTGTCCGTGCCTCTGCACACACACACACAACACTCCAACATGTCCCCGAAGCACAACGCGCAGTGGGACTTTTCTGGGGATGTGCACATTTCCTAGACAGTCTCTGCCTGCTCAGCTAATTATTAATCTAAATCCCAGTCCTGCTCTGGAGTGGGCCTTGCCTTTGTTCTTGGCTGCTTTCCTTCTTATGGGCCTAGGGAGGCAGAGGACTGACTCCTTCTGCATGGGCAGTTTGAGGCGATGAGCCTCACCCCAGACCTGAGTCACTGCAGTCTGCTAGGCCTGCACTCTCTGTCATAGGACAGCTGGTGACCCCAGGCCCTGGCCTGCCCCAGTAGCCAGCTGCTCAGCTTGCCCCTCTGTCGCTAGGTTTGGAGATGTCAGCAAAGACCCTTCGTTGCAGACAGTTTTAGAGATTAACAGGCCTGACACAGACTTGGCTCAGTAAGCTCCCATAACCAAGACAGGGTCCAGCAAATAAATACCAGAGGAGTTGGGTGTAGAAGCCGATGGACAGTGGTGCAGGCTTTCCAGGCACAGACCAACAGTTGAATCCTCTCAGGGTGTGCCCTTCTCTCTCCTTCCTCTATCTGAGGCTGGGCTCCACAGCAGCCCTTCTCCCAAACTAGAATTTCAGGGAGACTTCACCTTACTGGGGAGGTTTTCTGTGGCCTCTTCCCCTTCCCATCTGGGGGTCAAAGCACAGATTTTTGTTGGGATTGTCACTCTGCCTCTGTTCCCCTGCCTTTATTTTGTTTACAGATGGGGGGAGGGCGATGTAGTGTCCTCGCAAGTACCATCAGTGTGCAGAGATAGCCATTCTGACTTATTTTTGTTAGTCAGTTTTCAGTTTTGAAACTGCATCTGGGCAAGGGCCTTTCCCTCTCCTTCATATACGGGGATAGTCAGTGTCTCCCTGGGGCCCTACAGAGGGCTTCGTTTAGGCCAAAGAGAAAGAAGAGGCGGTAGCACGAGCAGACACCAAATACTTTGGAGCTGAGTAACCTTCTCGGAGCGCTCTCTCTATTCCCCGGTTTCCTGGGGTCCGTGGCTATGAGCAGATGGGGTCTTACTGTAGGTGCGGGTGTGGGTACGCTTCTTGAGGAGGAAGGACTAGTTTGCAGGCTGGGGACTCCCGCAGGGCCTGCCCTTACTGCCCCAGTCTTTTTTATTCCAGCGCTGTGAGGACAGAGGGCTCCTGACCCCCAACCCTGGGCTGGGCCGGCTGGGGCTCCAAATCTCTCTCCATCTTGGATTCCTGCCTTCTTGGCAGGGATGTGCTATGATTTAAGTCTGTCCCGGCTCTCCTGTTCTTAGTTGGGGTGTGGGGTGCACCTACAACCACAACCACTTTTTCTCCGCGGCTCCTTTGCAACCCACCCCCAGAAGGGAACCCGGAGAGCCCAGCGGCCAGGCGAGGGGCACTGCGATCGATCGAGGGGTTGGCCGGGGGAGGGAGCCGGGCGCTCAGCAGGGCCTCCGCGGTCGTCCGGAAGCGCAGGGCGCGATCCGCACGGGGCTCTGCAATTCTCACGGCTTCCTCTGCCCTCTTCCCCACCCCCACCCGGTCTCTCCGCCACTGCAGGTCCGCGCACCAGGAAGCTGAAGAAGAAGAAGAACGAGAAGGAGGACAAGCGGCCGCGGACAGCGTTCACGGCCGAGCAGCTGCAGAGACTCAAGGCGGAGTTCCAGGCGAACCGCTACATCACCGAGCAGCGGCGGCAGACCCTGGCCCAGGAGCTCAGCCTCAACGAGTCCCAGATCAAGATCTGGTTCCAGAACAAGCGCGCCAAGATCAAGAAAGCCACAGGCATCAAGAACGGCCTGGCGCTGCACCTCATGGCCCAGGGACTGTACAACCACTCCACCACCACGGTCCAGGACAAAGACGAGAGCGAGTAGAAGCCGCCGGCCGGGGCCGCACCCGCGCGCCTCCCTGCCCCGCCGCTGCCGCCTCGCCAGCCCCGCGCCGGGGGAGAAGCGATCAGCGCAAAGGAGGGAGGGAGCCACGGGGAAAAGAGAGAGAGACACAGAGAGGGATCTTCAGAATGGACAGGCACATTCAGACTAAACATTTTTGAGAAGGGAGAAAGACTCGGACAGGTGCTATCGGAAAAATAAGATCTATTGTCTATTTACAATACAAGGGACAAAACTTCGAACTCCTTAAAGCTCTATCTAGCCAAACCGCTTACGACCTTGTATATATTTAATTTCAGGTAAGGAAAACAAATATGTGTAGCGATCTCTATTGCTGGACATTTTTATTAATCTCCTTTATTATTATTGTTATAATTATTATAATTATTATAATTATTTTATCCCCCCCTCCGCCTCGCTGTCCCCGGCCCAGTTTCGTTTTCGTTGCCTTTTTGTTTTGAACGTTACTGCTTCTCCAGTGCCTCCCGCCCCGCATCGCTGGCCCTCGTTTCTCTGGGACTTTTCTTTGTGTGCGTGAGAGCGTGTTTCCTCGCGTGTCTGCCTTCCGCCTCTCCCCCACCTCCCAGGACCCTTCTGTCGGTCTGTCTGTCCTGTCCCCCTTTCGTTTTCCGGAGACTTGTTGAGAAATACATCCCCACAGACTGCGAGACTGAACCGCCGCTACAAGCCAAAGATTTTATTATGTTCAGAAACCTGTAGTCTGAAATAAAGTGTACACTGTGCTCACGAGCCGCTGGCGGCCGTCCTCTTTGCGGGCTCGGGAAGGGGGTGCGCCCGGGCACACCGCGGCCCCGGCGCCACCGCGCGCACCGTGCGCACCTCGGGCGTGGAGCCCCGGGCGGTCGGGCGGGCCTCACTATCACCGCACAACGAATGCGGGGGCAACGGGGGAGCGCTGTGGCGGAGGCGGCCCAGAATCGGGCTTGGCCCAGCACGGGAGGGTCTGGCTGGACACGCCTGGTCTCCTATTGCGTTCAAAGAAACCCGAAGGCCTGAAACCCCAGTCCTGGCTTCGGAAACGCTGGCCGGGCTGCTCCCCGCGCCAGGCCAGGCCCAGCCAGGCTGCAGCCTCCTCTTGTTCAACCTGCTCCTTGCTCCAGTCTGCACCTTTCCTTTGCCAGTTTCTTTCTTTCTTTCTTTTTTCCCCCCTGGTGCGGGGTTTTCAGAAGGTTTTTTTGCTCCAGAGGCAGAAGGCCTTACCAGGGCGGGGCAGAGGTGGGGAGCTGGCTTCCTCAGCCGCTGGCTAGGGCGAGGGGCGACTGGGCCTAGCCTCTGGCCGCCTGGACTTCACTGCTTTTCGTTTGGGGGAGTGATTCCATTGGCAAAGCAGCGAGTCGGGGTCCTCATGCGGAGCCTCATGGGACTTGGAACCCATGAACGGTCCCGCAAAATCGGGGGAGAGGAGACACCAGTGCTGGGAAAGCTGACCGGACTAGTGGCTGCTGGGTCTGCTGCTGGGATCGCTCTGGCCCCGAAACCCCGAGGAAGGCGTGGGCTTGCCTTACCCTAAACCTAAGCTGGGTGACCCTCAGCATCCCAACAAAGCTTGCTTCCTCACCTCCTCACCGAGGGGGGCGCACACACAAGCCCCCAGGACACCCAGGACATCTGGGATTCCCAAAGGGAAAGGTCTGATTCTTGCTGTTGACTCCGGCAGCGGTCCTTCCAAGGCAGGCGATGGAGTCCCCGACGTTCAGGGGTTAGGGGGAGGAAGGGGACGTCGCTTCTCGGAAGACGTAATTTCCCCTTTGTTCAGGATTTTTTTAAAAAATTGTAAATTCCACTCCCTTCCTTTTTTTAAAACATCTCTTCTCCAGTTCTGATGTATGTACCTGTATGTGTGTGGCTAGATAGGTAGGTGTCCACATATGAGAGCTTGTGTGTCTATGTGATAATGGGCAGATATTGGTGCATCTAAGTTCCTACCAGTTTTTTGTGGAGTCCTGTATGCATGAGTATTGTGTGACTGGGTGTTCATTTCTCTGGAATTACATGCACAATTGTATGCCCATGAGTTCATGCCATATGTATATGGGCTCATTTGTGTTGGCACACTAGAACGTTTGCAGGTGTGTTTGTGGGATTTGTGCATGTGTGGGAACCCTTTTCTGTTGTTTTTGCAGAATTGATTTTGTGAGAAATGAGAATGACCAGTCATTCTGACTTTTTTTCTTGAAAAATTCCCCCTGATTTGGCTCAAAGTCCTATTCACTCCTCACTAGAGAAATGATAGTGCTAGGCCCCAAGCCCAGGAGGCCAAGAGCCCCTCCAACTCCCTGCTCAAGGGTTGGGGACTTGGGGTTTGGTGGTCTGAGGTTTAGTGGCCTGGAGTGGAGTTGACATTGCCATGGGTTTCCAATTTTATTGCAGTAAGTCCTTTCCTTCCACCCCCCCACCCCCTGTTGTTTTCTTGGGGTGTGTGGAGTAACCCCTACATATAATAATGCAAGGAATCTTTGCATGCAGAGTTGGAAGCAGAGATGGGCCCTTTCCTGGGGTTGGCCTAGGTGAGTTGCTTTTTGGTGGCTGGAAACACTGCTTTGCTTCCCTTGGAGAGTGGAGCTTGGAATATTCCAGCCCTCCAGGCTTTTAGGTTAGAGAGTTTGAGGCCGGGGCTCTGGATACTCCTACCCTACTCCTGGCTGCTCAGAACTTCAGGAAGGGTCCTGGCCCCATCCCTCCCTCTGAGCACATCCTGATGTGGTGTTAGCAGTGCTCAGCTCTGCAGAGAACCTTATCATTTTGAGGGTCTGGGAACTGGGCCACCCTCCCATCTCCCTTCTCCCTTCCCCATTGTGACCCCTTAGAATACCCAAGTCCCTAAAGGCCACCAGATCCAGAGGCTGGGACAGAGGCCAGCATGAGCAGCAATTCCACAAGCATCCAGGACCTTAAGGCTTCTCTTCACCTATTGCAAGAGAATAAATCCAAAGAGTTCTTCCCCTTCTCTTAAGCCAGTGGGAGAGGGAGGAGGTGGTTACCCTTCCCCATGATTGTATTAGTAAAGTGCATAGGAGTGTCATTATTATGTAATTTGATTTCTTGCCTATTATCTCCTTTTATCTTCCAATTACTGTGAGCAAATAGAATTTTCTTCATTGTTCAGTGGAAGAAACTGAAGCTCTGAGAACTTAAACATTTAGTCTATGCCTCCTCCGTGGCTGTGTATTTAAGTTGCATCTACCTCAAGAATCCTGCCCAGGCCCTGAAGTCATCCTCCAGAATGACTTTCCTATCTTCTCTCCCTCTCTTTCCCATTTCCTTTTTCCTGATTAGGGCAGAGAAGAGCAGAGGAGGACTCTGGTTAGACCTTTTTCTTGTACCCCCTCTAAAAAAAGAGAAAGTAATAATGATCATAAACAGGCATTGATTTCTCTGATCTATGGGGCTGGCATAGTGAGCTGCCTATGTATTAAAGTCTGGGGTTGCATCGAAATAAATGCTTGAACACACACCATCCAAACTTCCTCATTTTCTGCCTTCCCCCCCACCTTTTTTTTTAAAGATTGGATTGAACCATAAACTTAAATCTTCCTCAGCCAAGGAGGAAACACATGCTAGCTGAGTCTAAACAGTATTGATCCCTGGCTTTCTAAGGGCAAAGGTCTCTGTTTTCTCGCTGGAAACTCCCTTTCCTTCAGCAGGCTCAAGGAAGGCTGTGGATGGAAAGGAAGGAGGGAGTAAAGTGGAAGGAAAGGGTATTTTGGCATTTTGGTGTGTGTGCTTATGTGTTCATGGGTTGTACTGTGTGTGGGCATTCGTAGAAGGGTGGTGGGAGATGGAAGTGTGTGCTTTGTTTGTATGGACCCCAGTAGTAATTGTTTGGTGTTGGTGGGTTAGTGTAGGTGTGCCCAGGTCTTAGGCCCCATAGGTGGGGCTGCCCAGGACACAGAGAAGGAGTGGCCTGCTGGCCTGTCCCCTCCCTGGGATCCACAGTCCTGTCTATCACCTGTGGCAGGACTTCCAGAGATGATACCACCACGAGGCCACTGTGCCCCAGCCAGGACTCTCCCCCCTCACTCTCCCTGCCACCCACACAATGCTCTTAGTAAAGAAGGCCAAAAGGCCAAGCTGAAAGGACAGGGGTGAGCTTTGGCTGACTCCTAGAGGCTGGGAGGCCAAGGCCAGGGCTAGAAAGGGCTAGGCCAGACTCTTTGCCCTGGATGAAGGTGTCTGCTCTGGCTTCTCTGGGGTAGCCATCAATTCCTCCAGTGGTCAGCCTAGCTTTTCCTTTCTGTGTTCGAGAAAAGCCATTCCTCTGGCAATCTATACAACCCACTATTCCCCTGCTTCCAACCATACATAGTCATGGGAAGGGGCAAGGGGGGGCAGGAAGGCATCCAGCAGCCCTTCCCAGCTGTGCCTCATAGCCTGGTCCCATTTAATCTGGACATCCCAGTGGGTGCAAAAGAAGACTGTGTCCCCCACCCCCCCCATCCGGGGGAGGTGGTAGAGTATTGCTCCATCCTTCCTAGAGCTCCTACCAGAGACCTCAGCTCTCTTCTCCCACTTTGAACTCAGGTGAGAGGGTTAGTCTTGTGTGGCAACCTGTAGAAAGGAGAAGGGCTAGGGAATCTGCCAACTCCCAGCCCTCCTCAAATGCATTAGACCAGTCTTTTAATGCAGTTCCAGTGTTGGAGGGGTCCTCAGGGAGTCTTGAATAAAAAGGTTTTCTTTTACAAGCAAAATAAAAGAAAAAGAAAAAAGAAAAATAAAAAATCCTGAGAGGGTAAGTGTCACATTCAAAAGCACACAGCAAATGAGAGGGAAAGCCCTCATATTTCTTCAGTCCAGGGCTCTTCTCCGTGTGCCATTGATAGGCAGTGTCAACACACATGCAGGCACAATGCACACATTTATATGCTCCCACACATACAAATGCACAAGCAAGCACACACCCATGTGTGTAAAACACGTGCACATATACAAATATCAATGGACTTATGTACAGAGGTGTATTC